CGCTCAGCCAGTGAGCGGGAACCGGTCTGTATGTGGGATCCGAACCCTCGGGCGGGAGCGCCACCACGCTTCCCAAGCGGCGCACTATCCAGTGCGCCACCGGGCCGGCCCCAGAACAGCATTTTTATAGAACAATTCATGAAGAGAACTGGCCCTGTTATGTCATATTGTAACATTTACCATTATAGTAATTACGCAATTCAATGGGATGTGGTGGTGTTTTTCCATATGTATGTATTAAGTTTGGGGCTTAATAACTTCTAAAAATTTTCCCATGGAGAGTAACAAAAATTTGACTTCCAAAAATCCATCCCACAAGCAGTTTTTCACAAAAAAGTTACCCTATTAAGGCAGGGGAATAATCTATCCTTGCACACTGACTTTACAATGTAAATCCCAAGTAAGACTTGCTCCACTGGACTCTCTGTGGTTTGATACCTAACAACGAAGGCAGAGATTGTACCATCAAAAAACAGCTTAATTAGGCAAAATTTAGCATTAGAGAGCTTGAGAGAGGGAGAGAGGTACTTACAGGGACTCCTCTCTATCCGAACTGTTTGAAGAGTGGAGTTCTTCCTGGAATTAGGCTTGGAGTTGATGAGCAACTTGTCCCATATTCCTGAAAACACACACATAATTTACTCTAGCAAAAAAATAGGTGCTCATCTGCAAACTTCCCATGAACAGTCTTATCATGACTGTTTCATATTCCCCAAGATGTTTTTCTTAAAAAACAGGCTCTCCAAGTTCCATTACAATATTTTAGTTCTTTATGTGCATCCATCTCCTCTTTCTTCACACTGTCTCATTTATCTCTGTATCACTGATGATGAGTAATAAATGCACACTAAACTGCACCTTTCTGGATCAGAAATCCGTCAGTAGACAAATATGGGTCTGCAATGACATAGTGGAGGACAGAGTATCATAACTGTTAAGTGAAACCAGATACTAGATGTGTAACACTGGGCAAATTACCTAATGTCTTTGACCAATTTGTTTCTTTTCATTTGTAAAACATGGTTGTCTGGTTACTTTCCCTTCCATGAAAATGTCCAACCTGGACAAAGTAGCCCTTTGGAGAAATTTTGTTCCTCACTCCACCTTCTCAGCCTCCTCAGTCACTACTCCTCAAATCTGCCCAACTCTGGAGCCCTTCAAAACTACGAGAACAGGACTTTCAAAACTTAAGGCTTTGAAAACTTAAGTTTTTAATACCTGGAAAATCCCATCACACTCCAATAAAAAAAAAAATCCTGTTCAGCCTCCAAAAAGAGCTCAACAGACATCCTTTGAATGCTTACCACTTAAGGCCTAGCAACTGAATTAGTGTTAAGAGCACGGACTCTGGAGCCAGGCTGCTTGGATTCAAATTCCAGTTTTGCTACTTTCCAGCCACATGATCTCCAGAGAGTTACTTATCTGTATGATACACCAGGCCTCAGTTTTCTCATCTATAGATCTTCTGCACAAGATCGCTGTGAGGAATAAGTTTGTTAATTCCTTGGGCATAGTAAGCTCCATATAAGCTTTGGCTATCATTATTATAACTCTTTCGGCCGCTCTGGGTTCTCACAGAACCTTTTCTTCAATCTAACGTTTACTGAGAACATGCCCAAGCCCTCATCCGCACCCTCCTCCTCCTCAAAATTCTATAAGTACTGCTACCTCCATTTCCCAAATCTGAAAATATAGGCTTAAAGAATGTAAATCACTCTCCTAAAGTGCCAGTTAATTACTCATGGAGCTGGAATTCGAAGCCAGGCTTTTAATTCTTTATTATAGAGTCTGAAACCCGTGTGGATTTCCTGGACGCGTGCCTACCTCTACAAGACAGCGGCACCAAGATGGTTTGTGTGCGTGTGTGTGTGGGGGGGGGGGAGGTGAGGGGTGACAGATAACATTTATTGGCCCCTCCCTACCAGACAGCTCCTCCCACCCAGACAGCTGGCCCCAAGGCCCTCCCGCCGTTCGTGAGTTCGGGAGCGTCCCGGCTGCGAGGGCAGGGGAGGTGCCATGCTGCGACGCTTAGCAGAGTGAGCGCTCACTACCTTGCAGGATATAAGAACGCCCAGCTGGAGAAGCCTCTCCTCAGCCCCACCCCCGCAGCAGCCCCCAGGGCTCCCCTCGAGGGAGCGGGGCCGGGCAGGAAGACGCCAGCCCCTGTCTGCGCGGGCCGCGCGTCCTCCGCCGCACGTGCGCGCTCCCCGCTGCCACCCGTCCGTCACCTCCGCGGCTGTCGCTCCCTGCCGTCAGCAGCTCCTCGGACACCGAGATCTGCAAGCAGTCGCGGGTGGACGACGAACAGCTCGAGATCGCCTGAGGCCCGCCAGAGACCTCCATGCCTCCGGCCAGCCTTCCGAACGTGCGCAACCAGGCCCGGATGCAGGAAAGAGGCCCGGGCAAGGGGGCGGTTCCAGGGCCGCGATTGGACAAAACTGGAAGTGGGCGGGGCGAGGGGCGGGGCAGAGCGGGGACGCACCTGGCGCAGCACCGAGACTGAGTTGTAGCTTCCAGTCGTTCCTACTGTGGGGAGAGGGAGGGTAAGAGTCTTGAGGCACGGTCTTTGGAAAAAAGAGCCGGCAAGGCTCGATTTAGCTAAACAAATTCGGACGTGAAGAGCATAGCATGGGCTTGCTCTCCTCTTTATTCTTTTTTAAGTTTATTTTTTAAATTATAAAAAACATAAAATTTACCATCAACCATTTTTAAATGCACAGTTCAATAGTGTTAACTATATTCATTCACATTGTTGTGCAACAGATCTCCAGAACATTTTCATCTTGCAAAACTGAAACTCTATACCCATTGAACAACAGCTCCCCATTTCTCCCTCCCCCAGCCCCTGGTAACCACCATTTTCTTCTTTTCGTTTCTATGAATTTGACACCATAGATACTGCATGTAAATGGAATGATATTGTACTTATCTTTTTGTAACTGGCTTATTTCACTTAGAATAATGTTCTCAAGGCTTATCCACGTTGTGGCATGTGACAGAATTCCTTTCTTTTTTAAGGTTGAATAACATTCCATTGTACGTATATACTACATTTTCTAGTCTTTATCCATTCATCCCTCAATAGACATTTGAGTTGCTTCCACCTCTTGGCTATTGTGAACAATGCTGCAATGAACACAGGTGTGCAAATATCTCTTTAAGACCCTGTATTTCAATTCTTTTGGGTATATACCTAGAAGTGAGATTACTGGATAATATGGTAATTCTACTTTTAACTTTTTGAGGAAACTCCATGCTGTTTTCCATCGCAACTGTACAACTTTAATTCCCACCAAGAGTGCACAAGGGTTCCAGTTCTCCACATCCTTGCCAACATATATTTTCTTTTTCTTTTCTTTTCTTTTTTTTTTTTTCGACAGTGGTCATCTCAATGAGTGTGACGTGATATCTCATTGTAGTTTTGATTTGCATTTCTCTAATGACTAGTGATGCTGAACATCTTTTCATATGCTTGTTAACCATTTGTATATCTTCTTTGGAGAAATGTCTATTCAAGTCCTTTGCCCATTTTTTTTTTTTTTAAAGGTGACCGGTAAGGGGATCTTAACCCTTGACTTGGTGTTGTCAGCACCACGCTCAGCCAGCGAGCTAACCGGCCATCCCTATGTGGGATCCAAACCTGGGGCCTTGGTGTTATCAGCACCGCACTCTCCCGAGTGAGCCACGGGCTGGCCCGTTTGCCCATTTTTTAATCAGGTTATTTGGGGTTTTTGTTGTTGTTGAGTTGGAGTTGTAGTAGTTTTTTTTATATATACTCTGGATATTAACCCTTTATCAGATATCTGATTTGCAAATGTTTTCCTCCATTCCATAGGTTGCCTTTTCACTCTGTTGATTGTTTCCTTTCCTCTTTGTTCTTTTAACAGTCTTTCTTGACCACCTGCAGTATGTCCAGACACCGCTGCTATGGGATTAATAGCAGAAGCAGAAATCTTGGACCAACCTTTTCTGCTTGCTTCTGAACAAGGGGATCCAGAGCCATTCTGACCTAGATTAAATCCAGTCTTGGATCATTCATTTAATAGCTGTGACTTTGGGCAGATCACTCTTTGGGCAGTTCTGCCTTCTCCCCATCTGTAAAATCAGGATAATAATATTTTATAGGGATATCCTAAGGGATAAAAGAGGAAGAGGAGTAAAATGTATGTAATGACACTAGTAGGTGCATAATTGTTTTTATCATAATAATAATTTAACATATTGACCAAGTATTAAAATTAGGGCACAAAGAATTATGGGAGAAATGACAGTAGGCACTGAGAAGGAAAACACTGATTAATGTATTTTAAAAGCTGATTTCATTATCTTCCTGCTCCCTGGTTAAAACATATTATGTCTGGTAATCCTTCAGGGAAGGGGTAGTACCTTTTTTCTTTGTATTTCCAGCATTTGGCCTGAAGTAGGCATATACTTAATAATTAATCCATGTTTCATGAACGAATGAACAGAAAGAAGTTGAACAAATCAATAACTGTTAATTAACTGTTTCATTAATTGACTGATCACCTCAGTAAATATGGACTCTAGCCTCTGGAAATCCTCAAATCTCTTTTGTGAATTATTGATTGAGATCTGAAGCACCCACAGGTACAAAACTAATGGGGCATTGCTGGTTTGTAAGAATAACTTAGAAATTGACATTCAGGTCTTGCCAAGATAGAAAATGCACTGGCAGAATTTAGTCTCCCTCCTAGCAAATGATGTTGTCAACCAGAAAAGCAATTTTATAAAATATGAGGGTAAATATAAAACATAGATTTTCTCACTTTTAATCTCATTAAAAGTTAAATGAATGGGTAAAACAAAAAATATATATAATAGGGTTTATAACAAATATAGAAGCAAAATTTATGACAAGAATAACACAGAAGATGGAGGTGGTAAATGAATATATAATTTGCAAGGATTTTATATATATATATATATATATATATATATATATTTTTTTTTTGTCTTTTTCCGTGTCCGGCAATGGATCGCAACCCTCAGTGTCGCCCCCGTACCGGACCGGGACCGGCAACGGGAT